TGCAGTACTGCACCCTAACCACTGCGCCACCTCGGCTCTTCACTGCGCCACCTCGGCTCATCAAGTAATGATTGTACCGTGTCTTGCCTAAAGACTGGCCAAAAAAAGGAAAATTGTGTATGGTCACGATGATGCCTCACTCCCTTTATACCAGAGAGGACTTTGATACTGTTTATTGGATTATTTCCTTGTTGTTGTTTTTTTACAGTTCTGCTATTTTACATATAAAAGACATATAAAGTTCTGACATGATCTCTTTTGCAGAATGTGAATCCCACAACATGACCCAGGATGACTATAAAAAGGAAAAAGTACAGCTCCACACCATGTATTTGCAGCTTCACAATAAGAGACAGGTGATGCAGCGAGTTTCTTTGGAGAGCTATGATTGTTCATTGGTCTAAACAGCAGGCACTTTTTGTTTTGTTTCCCTTCCCTTTAAAGGATTTGAAGAACCGATGGTTGGAGTCCAAAGTGTTTGTGAGACATTGGTGTATAATAGTTAGAGGATAGGACCAGGGAAATTCTAATTTATCATGACCTTTGGAAGTTACTGGGAGCCTTTAAAGCAGTCATTGCCTGTCAATTCAACCTAAACATTATTGGGAAAAGATGATCTTAGAGGAGGAATATCAGCCTTCAGGGTGCTTAAATCTGGCCTGCTGGGCCATCCTGGAAACAACGAAGGTCTACCTGTGGTGCCTCTGCCAGTAAAAACGGGGCTCAGTAGGGTTGCAGGAGGCCGTCACAGCTGGAAACAGTTTGGCAGCCTGTTTTTGCTGGAAGAGCGCTCAGGCCACCACAAGCACCGCCGACACAAGTGTCGTCGAGCTGGACATGCCCACCCTGACCACACCCCCAGGACTCCCCGAGGTGAAACCACCCTGATGTGGCCCTCAATGAGATTGAATTTGATGCCCCTGTCTTAGAGGATGTAGTACCATGATTGTCACCTTCAACTCAAGGAAAAAGAGAACATACAACGAAATTCATTCAGAGATGGTTGCCACAGTGTAACAGGGTTCTTTTTGAACTGAAGATTAGCTTGCAAAGGCTGGCAAAGGGCACAAATAAATAAGCCAGTGGAGGCCTTTTTTGTTACTACAGTGTGGGCTTTTATCACAAGTTTTTACAATATAGTTTTGGTGTTCACTTGATAACAGCTTTTCTAGGTTTCACTCCCAGAGACAGAGGTCTCCCTGTAGTTCTCCTGCTAGCTGTTTTGTTTTCTTCCCTTTCATTCCAACTCTCTCCCCCTCTTCTGTGTTTTAACAAGAGAGCAGGTAAAAAGGATGGGCTGGAATTTGGGCTTCCATTGGTTCGACCTTCTGCTCAGTAGAACATCTACTGGCTCTCCACAGAGGGGGAAAAACTTATCTGAGTCTTCTGCCTAATCCTTCCCCAGGGACAGCCAGGTCTCCTTCCCTTTTGGGGCAGAGTTCTCACCCCTCTGGGTTTTCATTTTCCTTTTTGAAGCCACCTTGTGAATCTTTTTTTCTCCCTTTCCCAACCAGGAACCAAAAAACTCCTCTTCACACTTAACTTCTCTCTCCATCTTTATTTTGTAGCCTCTTGATTCACTCCATGCAATCCTCTTCTCCCATTCCAGTTTTTAGTCAGGCCAACAGCATGTTCCCCAGCAATTGAGGAGGTGGGTTCCCCCTCAGGTACCGTATCTAGTCCCCAAAATCTAAAGAGGAGCAGGCTTGATCATTGGAACTGCCACAACAGTGCTGGCTAGCAGCAAGGTTGGTTCATCAGCCCTTGTGATATTACAGCTGCCATTCAAAGCCAGCATTGAGCAGCTTCTCCCCTTGTACTCACTCACACTAGCAAAACAGCAGCTATTTCAGGTCACTAAAATCCATATGCCACAGTAGTGCAATATACACCATCATTGCTGTTCTCCATTTTAGTGTACAGCAGTGGTTGTCAACTTTTTCTTCACCACGGACCCCCTTGTAAACATCTTTTGTGGCCATAGTCCATAGCCAAGGACCCCCAAGATTAACTCAAGGTTTAAATCATAACATTTCTTTGAACCTTCATAGACCTCCCTGTGATGATAATGTGTGCGTGTGTGCGTGCACACACACACACACACACCCCACAGGCTGAGAATCACTGGTGTAGAGGATAAATTGTCCTTGACTGAGATAAGCCAGATGTAAGCAACATTTAAGTGAAAAAAACAGGGCTTAAGTAAAAAAAAAAAAGCAGAAGGTAATGTAAGAGC